TATGTTTGACAATAATTGCGAGACAGGTTTACGGAGCCCGCAGACCTTTTCGACGAGACTAATGCTCGAACACAGCGATACTCGTACTACTTGTCTGACTATGAACCGTGTTTACTACTAGTTTCACTATGTAAACCCTTCGCCGCTACGTGTCCAACTACGAATGACCTCCTACAACTTGCCCTGACCACAAACGATCTGCTATTACACGCAAGTACAAGTTCCAGGACTACTTGTCTGACTCTGAACAGCCCTCACTACTTCCCCGAACACGTGCAACACCTTTATTACTTGCCAAATCGCTAACGGCCTATTTGCCAGTCGCCTAATCGCCGAACTTGCGGCTGCTTATGCAAATTTCAGTTTTTGAGTAGTACGCGACAAGAATGGCATGCAGAGCTTCTTGCTAACCGAAGATCCAGTGAACTGGCCAAAGTTTGGTAAACATTATCTAACGTTGCAGTGGTTAAAGCAAGATTACATCTAATGTAATTGACACACTTGTGACACATTTCATGATCACCTTCACGATGTTCGAGATTTTCAAAAGATTTTGACTAATTTTAACACTAAACACGTTTTCTGTTTTTAAATCGTGAAAACAATGAACACTCTTTGTTTTGATAAATCCTTTAATAATAAATCCCTTAAGTAGTCGAAGATGGATAAACATTATCTAACGTTGCAGTGATTAAAGCAAGATTACATCTATTGTAATTGACGCACTTGTGACACATTTTATGATCACCTTCACGATGTTCGAGATTTTCGAAAGATTTTGACTAATTTTAACACTAACCACGTTTTCTATTTTTAAATCGTGATAACAATAAACACTCTTTGCTTTGATAAATCTTTTAATAATAAATCCCTTAAGTAGTCGAAGTTGGATAAATTTTATCTGACGTTGCAATAGTTAAGACGACATCCATTGTTATCGACACACTTCTGACATTGTTTTACTATCTTCTTGATTCCTGAGAATTTTTAAAGATCTTGTTTAACACATTTTCTACAAATCTCTCACACAAATTAAGACATTGACACAAATCTCACGCACAATGTTTCGTCAGACGTCAACAATAAAAAGCTCAATAGCTACTCGCTCATCATTCGTCATTCAATCAAACTTCTCTCCCATCGATCGATTATTCAATGATATTGATTCAATAGAAATAACCGTACAATTTCCATAAAGATCCACAGTCCACTAATGACATCACGTACTAACCTAACAGCCGTATGAGATCGTAAAAGCTGTAACATTTTAGTAATTTTGTGCTCGTTACAGCGCGCACAGGTTGCCAAACATTCTGCTCGGTGATTTTACCGTGAAATTCTATCGGAATCGTGGAGAGATTTTTCCAAATTCCATTTTATGTTATTTCTTCATATTTGCAACTGACCACACGGATCATTCGGCAAATTGGAAGAATGCGAAATGAACATGCGGGAAGGTACCGCTCATTAGCAGAACTTCGGGATGTTGTTACGAATATAAATAACGTAGGGGATATATTTTCGAAAAACCTTGTTTCCCTGTGAGCCGAATAATTTTAGTATAAAAGACTTTCATTTCTTGATTCTCTAATATTTGGTGTATGTTGATTAAATTAAAGTTCTATACGCAACTCTAATTTAATCAACATGCTTGCTTTATTACAAACAAGCTTTCACATGCTTTATTATTATTAAAATCAATACTTTGACTGCCACTCCAACAACCTCAAGAATTTCGTAAAATGAAAGTATATTATTTAATCAAACTCTAAATTTGCGAACTGAAGTTGCATTACGTTGATTAGATTTTTTAACGATTTAAGCGGATGTTAATTAAATTACGGAGATATATTAAATAGATGAGCTTTAAAATTAACGTTAAATAGAGCGACGTATAGTACTTGATAACCCTACATACAATACGTATGGAAATATTCGAGCAATTCGAGCAACTCGAATAAGGTTCGAGCAATTCGAATAAGGTTCGAGCAATTCGAATAAGGTTCGAGCAATTCGAATAAGGTTCGAGCAATTCGAATAAGGTTCGAGCAATTCGAATAAGGTTCGAGCAAACTCGAATATGTTTGAACAACTCGAATATCTTCGAATAACTCGAATACGGTTCGAGCAATTCGAATAAGGTTCGAACAATTCGAATAAAGTTCGAGCAAGCTCGAATATGTTTGAACAACTCGAATATGTTCGAATAACTAGAATAAGGTTCGAGCAATTCGAATAAGGTTCGAGCAATTCGAATAAGGTTCGAGCAACTCGAATATGTTTGAACAACTCGAATATGTTCGAATCACTCGTAAATTAGTGATCTGCCGAAACGTATTCCAGTAATTCGAAAATTTTCGAGCTAAAAATGTGTCCACAGGTACAGTAATTTCTCCCTAATTCACGCTCAGATTGCACACAAAAATGGACAATTTTGGAAAAGAAGATATGATTATTCGAGCCTTGCGTCTCGTTTTTATAGTTGTTGGCAATCGGTAACTATAAAAACAAGCCGCAAGGCTCGGATAATCGTATCTCCTCTTCCCAAATTGTCCACTCTTGTGTACAATCTGAACGTCAATTAGGCAGAATTTACTCCCACAGTCTGCGGCTTCAATTCTGTTTAGTCTTCGCGAATCCGTGGATCGGGTCTCCGCCGCGCTGCGTTCAAGTGGTTTTTTACTCCCGAACGAGCGCGACACCATTCCGATTTTTCCGACTTGACAGCCGCGTTTCGATTCCCGTGGCTCGGCGCGACAGTTTCGAATTTTCGGCGGGTAATTCGCCGCGCGAATAGCAATCGAACATCCGGAACTAATTCTCGCCGTGTAACGTAACCCCGTGAGGGACAGGCCCGGCGCGCTAAACGCCGGCTAAATTATTCGCGGACGTAACGAACTCGTAAAATCCTGTAACCGTGGCCGTTTGTTTCGCCGTGATAAATCCGGACTTTACAATCCGGCGGTGCAGTTGCATCGGTCATATTTCAGTGTCTTCCCGCGGCCGTTGCCGACAGAAATATTCGCCGGGCTGCAATGGATGCCAGATACGCGTGGTTTAATCCAGCCCCGGAGTCGTTTCGATGTTCGTTCATCGATTTCGGTGTGTTACATCAACGCGCCAACGTTCGGCGTCCAGGTTGCGTAAAAACTCCCGGCACGACGCGGCGCGGCGCTCGTTCGTTGCTTTAATGCCTTCGATTCGCGAATTCGCCCCGGCTCGATGTTCCCAGGCTCATCGTAAGCATCCGGTTTAATTCCAAATGAAAAACGGGCTTTAACCGGCCGATGCATAGCGTAATTTTTAATTAGCGGGCCCCGCCGTGTTAATTAAATGGCGACGGATTAGCCGTTCGCTCGACGCGACGCGGAATTATTCGCTGCTTTTTATGCAGGCGCTCTGCAGTCTTCATAATGTTTCGGAATCAATAAATATGATAAATAATTCGGCGCCACGTGCACGTGCACGTGCAACCAACGTTTCCAAATGTTGCTAATACTTCATTATTCCGACGGGTTTTTCGATCGTGCACGGCAACATTCATTCGCTGATCAATTTGAATGCGACGTAATGCGAAGCGAATGTCCAGCTTTCGAAGATGTTGTGTACTCTGCATCGTTGAATTAACGATTGTTTCGCGCGTATTAATGGAATTCGTCAAAGATCGACGTAATTGTTCGTCATGTTTGTTTTTAATTCGGTAATGTAAAATTGATTTTAACAATTCGTTACGAAGCGAAATTCAGGCAAATAAATTGTTGCAGCTTTAAGGCTCTCGTAAACTCTCTGCAGCGTTGACGTTAATAATTGTTTCGTGCGTGTTGTTTGAAAGCTTGAGACAATTGTGTCTCGAACTTGTGTCGTCGTGTCTTCAATTTTGCGACGAACAATTGACTTCCATGTAGAAATTCGTTAAAAAGGCGAAATGACGTAACCACTGAATTCTTGCACTTTGGAGGCTGTTGCAAACTTCTGCAACGTTGAATTATTAATTGTTTCGAAACCTACGACAATGCTCTATTGTCTTCCTTCGTTTTTCATCGCATAGATGAATATCTCTCGAGGCAGCTAGAATTCCGAAACTCGAATCAACGAAAATGAAAACCGCGATTAAAGGACAAAGATCCGCGCTCCGATTTTCTCGCCTGCATCCACCGCATGTTCGCGTTTATCGCGATATTGCGACGCGATTAAAGAAGCAATTTTGAGAAACGAAGCGCGGCGAATGCAAGCTGGTTTGCCCGCGCAATCCGAGGGGGAAAACATTTTTCCCTGTTTATTTTGGCGGCTGCCGGCTCCGCGGTAACTCAATATTTCGGCGTTATTTGTATTTTTCGGCAGTCAAAGGATGTTACCTCGAATTTCCGGGGCCGTAACGTCGCTTTATTTATTGGCCGCGAAATATTTAAGGGTCCGCCCTCGGCCACGAAAATTCGCGGCATGTAAAATGTTCGCGTCTCTCGCCCCGTTATCGGATGTTCCTTCTTTTTTTTATAATTTCTCGCACGACTTGATAAATTAAGGCGGCATCGTGCAACACGCCTCCGACCAGCTTGCGCTATGTGTGCACAAACGCGCGCGCGCACACACGCGAGGCTCGTAATAGGGAGCTCGGGCGATCGGTCGATGAAATTTACTAGTGTGCATTTTTCAGGGGAAACGCAGCGTGCACGGGGCCACGCCGGATTGAAAATTCTAGCATGACTTGTTCGGTACAGTTTACCGTATAACGGACGGCTCCGGCCAAATACTCGAAAACCGAGCGAAAGAATCTGTACACAGACGACAAACGATCCGTTCTGGTTATTTAACAGCGTGAAATGGAAGCGAGATACGTTCGACAGATGTATCGGGGTCCTCCTTTCGTAACATTTGCCCGGCTTTTCCATTCCATCAATGAAAAAAAGAAAGCAAAACACGATCGTATCGACGGCGCTTAATCATTGTAGTGTCTAGCTTAATCTTGTCAAGTGTCTCATCAAGGTTCTTCGTTTTTCCAGACTACGATCAAGGACAAGCGTACGCAACGCAGCAATAAAAAACAACAGAAAAGTGTAATTACTTTCTGACTATTATCTATTTTTATATACGTACCTAGTGCTGCTTAGCGCGACGTCGTAGTTGGCAGTGCTTAACACTGTGGATGCCATGTTACCTGTATGTGGGCGATAGATTGGAAAATTCACTCGTACTATGATATATCTGTTGCATAATTACATTGTATTATTGTATATATTATATCTTCCTAATTTGATTCGGATCCGTAAAACGTATGGATAGAGACAAAGTAATTGATGTCACACACACACACATACAATATAACTTTTTAATATCAATCTATTTTATATCTATTATATATTCCTAATTTGATTCGGATCCGTAAAACGTATGGATAGAGACAAAGTAATTGATGTCACACACACACACATACAATATAACTTTTTAATATCAATCTATTTTATATCTATTATATATTCCTAATTTCATTCGGATCCGTAAAACATATGAATATAGACAAAGTAATTGATGTCACACAATATAACTTTTTAATATCAATCTATTTTATATCTATTATATCTTCCTAATTTCATTCGGATCCGTAAGACGTATGGATAGAGACAAAGTAATTGATGTCACACACACACATACAATATAACTTTTTAATATCAATCTATTTTATATCTATTATATATTCCTAATTTCATTCGGATCCGTAAAACATATGAATATAGACAAAGTAATTGATGTCACACAATATAACTTTTTAATATCAATCTATTTTATATCTATTATATCTTCCTAATTTCATTCGGATCCGTAAGACGTATGGATAGAGACAAAGTAATTGATGTCACACACACACATACAATATAACTTTTTAATATCAATCTATTTTATATCTATTATATATTCCTAATTTCATTCGGATCCGTAAGACGTATGAATATAGACAAAGTAATTGATGTCATACAATATAACTTTTTAATATCAATCTATTTTATGTCTATTATATCTTCTTAATTTCATTCGGACCCGTAAAACGTATGAATATAGACAAAGTAATTGATGTCATACGATATAACTTTTCAATTTCAATATTACTACTTTAAATTCATGTAATTCTCGAGGTGGTTGGCATGGCAGTCAAAGTGTTAAATAGCATATTCATCAACAACAATAGCGATCTTAAATCTAGATTTTAGACCTAGTCTCTAAATCCTTAAATGCGTTTACAACAATTTTACTGTACATAGAGAACCACGAAAATTTGACAAGCTACTTGAAGCTGTTCGATCTTGTAGCGTTAATCCTATATGCGGTTCGATTATGAGATTCTCGATTGGGAAGAAATTTCGATTAAAGAAATTTCTTACATATATTGTTCACAGTACAATTATACTTACTTATACATAGAATTTTTACATCCGCTTTCGTACGCTCTACCTACTTTTTATTGCATTGTTGGGCGGTGTTTCATAATAGGTACGTTTACCTTAACGTTCGGTCGATCTCGTCAAAGTTTCGAGTTAATTCTTTCCACTTCGTCGCAGTCGGATTTGTCCAGCGAAACCGTCCGACGCGAGCATTATTGCCGTGATTTATTTAATTGGATGCCCAATCGTGCGGCAGAATTCTGCAGACAAAATTAGCGAATCCACTTATGCATTGAAAGTCAAGCCAGCAGCAGCAGGAACGTTTCGACGAAGTCCTTTGACACTTATTGCCGAGGATGCTTTGCGAACAACTCTCTCTCTCTTCTCTCTCTCTCTCTCCCTCTCTCGGTGCGCGGTGGATCTCTGGCTTTCTACGGTGAACAAACTAGAAACACATACTAGAACCTTGTGAACGCTAAGCCCAGAACGTTGCGTCATGCTTTGAGATCGAACACTGTGGCAGATCAAGGTATACGTTGCGGCGGGGGCAACAAACAGTCGGGGAAGAGAGACAGAGGCGGGCTTAAACGAACAGGGTAAGGAAAATAGAGCGAGAGAAAAAAGAAGAATAGTCCGTTAGACCATATGAGTAACAAAGGGTCGCTAGGTAGCATGCGCCGGCTGGATTATGTATGATTCGAACCACTTGAACAATACATACTGTAAATATTGATCTTGCTGGGAATTGCTTTACGCGAATGCTGCACTATCTTGCTTGTTGCTCTCGGCTAGCAGTATCATCGGCTCGCAGCTGCTTTTCAATTGTTATATCTGCGCAGCGGGAAATTGACATAATAAAAACCGAAAAACTGACGGCCCTCGTAAATTGTTATAACAAATATTATATATATATAAATGAATCATCAAGCTGTCCTCGATGAAGCCAAACGCTTCACCTACCTAATTTATTTGTAAGAGAGTATAAAATTGTTTTCCAGTTTATATATTTTTATATATATATAAACTGGAAAACAATTTTACCGAAAAAAACCGAAAAACTGACGGCCCTCGTAAATTGTTATAACAAATATTATATAATATATATAATATATATATAATATATATTATATAATATTATATAACAAATATTATATATATATATATAATATTATATATATATAATATTTGTTATAACAATTTACGAGGGCCGTCAGTTTTTCGGTTTTTTTCGGTAAAATTGTTTTCCAGTTTATATATATATAAAAATATATAAACTGGAAAACAATTTTATACTCTCTTACAAATAAATTAGGTAGGTGAAGCGTTTGGCTTCATCGAGGACAGCTTGATGATTCATTTTCTCTGTATACTTTCATTGTTTTATAAAAAAAATGTTGGTACGTTACAATTACAGAAAAGTACTTATTAGGGATTTTTTTCTTATTTCTAGACCGAAAGTATAAGTTGTGAAAAATTGGGAAAGACAGACGTAGATTTCCAATGAATGCTCGAAGATCATATATTAATTACAATAAAATAATGTTAGAAAGAAATTTCTAACTTGTGTCAACGAGTTTCCAGGATTTTCGACAGCAATTAAGGAAGACCATGAAACAATTAAATCAGTCGTGAAAAACATAAATCCGTTTTACCTAGGAAATCATTAAATAAATTGATTTATGGCAGAATAAAAGACAATCGGAATTTTCATAAATATAATTAATGAACGCGTCAGTCACTGTGGCAGCGCGGTACTTTTATTGCTAATGAATGCATAATTAATGATTTATCGTTGCTCGATTCGATTGCCTGACCAAACACAATTTATACCAATAACTGAGTAATCGCAAAAGGTGTTCTGCGTTATTAAATAAATGTTCCGGAATTTTACAACTCCGCGTGAAACGTATTCCATCAGACTATGCATTAATTATTATAATTGTTCGTATATTTAATGAGGAAATTTATTTCAGTAATGATAATATCGTATACTAATTTGGGAAAGATTATAATCATCTCCAAACTGTCGAAAACTTTTTGGAAATTCCTATTGTTTTCTTCGTTTTTGAATGTCACCTTTGCTATGTCACCTAAATTTTTTAATAACTTTCACTCAGCCACGTGCAGTCTATTTTTTTAAATAATATCATTAAATATTTCGATAATTCGTAAATTTCAAGAGCTAACGATAATTTCTTTTATAACTATTGTTAATTCCTTTATTATAATTATCTATTGTAAATGCAGTACATATTTTCTCTATTTAACGCTGAAATTATTTATTCGACAATAATATTCACAATTTCGATCGAATACTTTCCGCCAAGGATAGTGCAAAAGTCACTGGGCACGACCAGAGCATTACTTGGTCTACCCAGTTCACGTCATGTGTCTGTCGACGACAGTCTTCTACGTGTCTGGCCAGCAACGAGCCTATTCTACTTGGCTGACCGGAGGCGGAACCCATTCCACTTCCTTTCATCTGAAACGATTCCTCCGCCCCTTGGCCAGCCAGTGGCGGTTCCTATTCTACGTTCGTGACCCACGGTTGTTCATCTTTTAATTATGCGGTCACGTACACACCCTACTCTTCCTGCGCCAACAAGAACTGCTTCTGCTACTTTAATTTAATAAAATGATACCGCGCTGTTTACCTTGAGGTATCTTTTATTAATGTGCCAGAGCGAAACTCAAATTTATTGCAATTACATTGCGTTTTCGTTGGGTTCCCATTGCTGGTAACAAATTGACACGACAATTTACTGTAAATTACCAATGCTCGAATTTGTAACGAAATATAACCTTGTTGATTAGGCATTGTTCGAATTGTTTCGAGTGAACATTTACCTAGGATGTTTATTCGAACGAAATTCGTTTTAATCGAATATTTTATTCGAACAACGATCATTCATTATTCGAATAATTCTTTATTATTTCTATTTCAAAATCGATTATTTTCCACGCGAATATTCCTGTACGAATAAATTCTCATTCGAATGAAATTCCTAGCTTCGAACTGAACAAAGTTGTCCTGACACATTTTTGATGTCAGCAGAAATAACGAAGATATTTCAATGAGCAGGATAAACGTATAATTGATATTCCTTATTAAAGTGTATAATTTACGAAAGTATTGTGCGTACAATTCATCAACGTTTTTCAAAGACTTTCCAACGGCTGGCTGGATGAACATCGGTAAATAAATCCTTAACGATCGGAAAACAAATTCCTGGAAGCGATAGTGAAACCGGTACGATTCAACTTCGGTCGAATCGCAGAGATAAGATAAACGGTGTCAAGAGAGGAAGCTGAACGTAAAGAGATAACTACATAGGTATGTACATAGCGGTAGCAGGAGTCGAAGGAAAAGGGGAAGAAAAGTTCTAGGACAAAGGGCCGAAGAAAGCGGAGGTATGGAAGGCAGATAGCGACGGTTCCTCGGGTGTTCAGAATGCGCTCGCCGTGACCTCTTCGCTATATCCGGTCACGTGCCGTTGCGTGACTTCCTTTCATCGGCTTACAAAGGGCTGGGAATACCAGCCGTGCCTGTACACGCTTGTCCCGCGAACTCGTGACATCGACTTCACCCTAGCTTCGGCCCGTTATATTGCGCCAGCTCGCTGGAGGCTGCTGCCCTCAATCTCGAGCCTATATCGTTGGTTCCAGCATCAACGGCGATC